TTTATTTTCTCCAAAATTGGGCTAAAACCTCTGTACAATCATCAGACATAAAATACCTATGAATAGCATTATAAAACTTGTTGTATGATCAATTATATAAAAACCAACTTTTATGCATTCAGTAATCAACAAAAAGATTGAATACATATACATTACATAAAGTAAAAGATTTTGGTGCATTATATATATACTGGTATATGGACACACAACACAACAACACAACAAGGATTGCTCACACCACTACAAAAAATAACGAAGAATTTGTGTTAGTAAGTTTACTTTATTACAAGTGCTTGGCATTACTTCTGGTACCTAATTTAAACAAAATAAAGTACTGTCTTGTTTAAAATAGTAATTACCCCATGATTTTCATGATCTGAATTATCTTCAAAAACATTCGGTGTATTGTATTCATTACTTGTTATTACTTCACAACTTGTAGCAGCCTGTTGATAATAAAAAATAATTCAATGAAGTTTGTCATGAATATAATATTAATTGTTATACCACTTCAGTAGAAATATTTAACATAATGCCTGTTACAAGTGCTCCTGGTTTCTCTTCAATACTCAGTGACTCATTAACAAAGGAATTTTCTGTTGGAAAGTGAACAGGTGAGAATCTGTTATTAGTAATATTAGTAATAGTAATATTAGTAATAGATCCTGTACGATCATCTACATCAGCCTTTTCTAAAGGAACTGATGTTGCATTTGGCTGCACAATTTCAGCTAAAAAATGAAGAATATTATGTTTATTACTATATATTACTATTGTAATCCTTACCATCAGTAGAGCAAGTATCATCTTCTACTGAAGTATTAATATCTTCAATGTTTTTTGGTGGAATTTTTTCTGTTAGAAAAATAAATGATAACCATGCAAGGTAAAAATTTATATTAATACCATATTGTCCATGAACCACAGCAGCAGCAGCATCAGTAACTTGTACTGGTACTATAAATTGAGGACTGCTCACAGTAGTGCTGTATTCTTGTGCAATGGTAGCAGCATATGAAGGAGGAGGAATGGCAGAACCAAAATTAGTTAACATTTCATCAGATGTATTAACAGTGATACCACCTCTCTAAAAGATAAATATAAAAGAATTAGGCCTGGTTTAAATGACTATGTTTCAAACTAAAACTGATATATTTTTAGTTGGATAAGGGTCTCGTTTACACTAAAACACAAGAAAACGCATATCAAATCCGAACAAAAGAAAAACAAATACCAAAAAGTATACTTCTATAAACAAACAATAAATTCTAATAAAACGTAGCTGCTGGTGTGCTGGGTTAGTGTAAACACCTGAAAACAGTATTAGCAAAAATGATGCAGATTTGGCCAGCGTATAGTCGTGTAAATGAGGCCTTAAACATTTACTTAATGTTAAAATACACATGTAGTCTACCTTATTAATATCCCCAGTAACTTTATCATACACAACAGGTTGATCAACAATAGGCATAGCACTAGTATCAGTAATATTAGCAGCAATATTGGCATTAACATCAGCAGCAGTGTTGCTAACAGCAAAAGTAATAGATACTTTACTGTCAGTATCAGTAGAATCGGTACTGTACTCAGTATTATAAATAAGTGGTGCTGTTGATGATGATGTACTCTTTATACTCTCCTCAACATTTGGTTCTCTAATTTCTTGTGTGGTCATCAAATCAAGGGATAAATGTGAATCATCTTGTTGCATCGATTCCTGAAAAACATTCAAATAACCATATACAGTTCAACATTATGAATCTAATTACAGAGAAAATTAGTAATTTACATTATATGGCTACAATATGCTTAAAGCCTGATTTACACTGCACAATTAAGGTAAGGTAAGGCTATACATTAAGACAGGAAGTGCTATATAAACCAATGGCAACCGTTTACGTAAGATAAGAATAGAAATTATCTCTATTTTACGTTACTGAAACGGTGGCCATTGAATATACAGCACTTCCTGTATAGCCTTACCTTACATTAATTGTGCAGTATAAATCAGGCTTTAGAGATATAGGTTCAACCATAAGACTGACAATAATAACTGCACTACGGGCAAGCTTGTTTTATTAATTGAGTTATGCTGTTTCTGTTAAGTTTAAAGATTATTTTTTAAATGTAACACGCAGT